ATCCTGCCTGTAGGTAGGCTCCCCTCCCTGGCTCTGCACTCCAGCCCTCTCTCAATCCATCTTCCACCCAACTCCCCTGCTGCTTAGGCTCTTCCACATTTAGGGGCCACCATACCCAGCCTCCTGCCTGGGGATTGGCCAAGATCCCTAAAACATGCAGATCTTGGCCTCCTCCCCTCCTCTTCCAGAAAGTTTCTCTAGTTTCTAGAAGGGTGGCAGGGCCCCAGAAGCCCTGACCTGTAGAGCCTCCCAGCCTGTCCAAAGGTGAAGTCAGGGTCCTGTCCACAGCAGGAGTTCTGGAAGATCTGGCATTTCTGACAGTACTCTACATGGCCGCAAAAGTACACATCAGCCACAGTCTGGTGCCAGACGGCCTTTATAAGGAGGCTCATCACTTCCTCTAGTTGCTGGAAGATCTCTAGCTCCCCGTACCCTGTTCCTGTGATTCTGACTTGTGATTTCCTGTTACCGACTCGGCTTTCTCCTGGACCTGTCTACTCTGATTTACCCCTGATCTGACCTCGGCTTGGCTTACGGATACTCTCTCTCGCTCCTCTGTGGATGACCTCGGCTATCCCATCTGACTACGACCGCTCTGATTCCCACCTGGTACCTGAACTTGGCTTGAACCGACTACCCAGTAAACATCCAAATCCTGGAAGGGCTTACATACCACGCACAGGCATTTCCTGTCTGCAGACCTATCTCCGTGCACCAGCTGAGCTTCTGGGTGAACCACCAACCAGCACTCCTACAGGCGACCTGTGCAACTTTGGGCCTGACTCCCGCTGTCCCACTCTCAGGGGAGTGCGGAACTTAGCCGCAAGGGAAGCCCTCTCTCCATTGGCCTCCATCACCAGGTACGTGATAGGTGAACTCACTACCTCACTCCCGCCTCTAACTACAAAACAATAAATCTAGCTACCTAAAAGGTGCTACATCTCCATTTTAGTTTTAGTCGTATTTTAATCACCTGAATTATTTTAGTCAACTAAAATCTCCATTACATTTTAGTTGACTAAAGTTTCCTACATTTTAGTCGACTAAAATCTAATGGGTTTAGTTAAATTGTAATGCATCATTTTAGCATTTCTCTAGAGTTTCCAAATTCATTATATGCTCCTGGAGTAAAAATCTAATAACATATTATTATTTATAGAACTAAAGCAGAACTTTACCCAAAAGGGGACATTCTGCTTGTTTACATCCCCCCTCCCCTGCCACATTTGCACTCTTTCCGGGGTGCGGGTATCTGGTTTTGACAGGTAACCTCTACCACTTCTGTTCAGATACGCCACGGCGATCTGAGAGGTGGAAGTTCACCCCTCCCCCTTCCCCCGCAGCCTTCTGGGACACTTCAAAACTCCTAGAAGACTGCAGGACCATTCACAAAGCGCAATGTGCTTCGCGCATGCAAAGTATGAATTTGGCTGTGAAGCTGCAAGGCAAAATATGTCCACTAATGATGAAATGAACAGTGCCTGAGATGGAAGTCTTCGGGATTACAGGTCCCATGATTCCTTGTGTGCGGCCTGTACTACACGTTTCAGCCAAGCGTAGAGCCAGAGCGCAGTACGGCTACTGATTTAATGCAAACGCATTGGAGGAACACAGCGCTGCCTGTCCTGGGCCTCTGTATTTTCAGTCCTAGGCGGTAGCACACGCATCAAGGTGACTCCAGGGAAACCCTGCAAGCCACAGGTGCCACCCCATTAGTGGAAATAGTCCACAAGGAACTTTCGGAAGCTCATGAAGCTGCAAACACTGAATAAATACCAGGGACAGGAAACAAAGGTGATATACTCATGCAGTCACATTTATTGCGTTTTCCAGTGAGGTTAATAAAACTTTAAATCTATAATCATATATGTTACTCTAGCTCTAGTAGAATGTCCCAGATTTTACTGCTTTCCACACCAACATTCATTCCATTAGTTCAGGGGTCTCCAAACTTTCTAAGCAAAGGGCCAGTTTACTGTCCTTCAAACTTTAGGAGGGCCAGACTGTGGCCATCGGGAGTAGAACATGTCTTAATGTCAGTGGGAGCAAACAATGTCCCATCGTTGGTGTCAGTGGGAGGAAAAGTGCACTATCCTTGGTGTCAGTGGGAGGAATAGTGCCCCATCCCTGGTGTCAGTGGGAGGAATAGTGCCCCATGCTTGGTGTCAGTGGGAGGAATAGTGCCTCATCCTTGATGTAAATGGAAGAAGTGCCTCATCCTTGGTGTCAGTGGGAAGAATACTGCCTCATCCTTGGTGTCAGTGGGAAGAATACTGCCTCATCATTAGTGTCAGTGAGAAGAATAGTGCCCCATCATTGTTGTCAGTGGGAAGAATAGTGCCCCATCATTGGTGTCAGTGGGAAGAATAGTGCCCCATCATTGGTGTCTGTGGGAAGAATAGTGCCCCATCCTTGGTGTAAGTGGAAGGAAAAGTTCCCCATTATTGGTGTCAGTGTGAGGAATAGTGCCCCATCCTAGGTGTCAGTGGGAGGAATACTTCCCCATCCTAGGTGTCAGTGGGAGGAATACTTTACTTTCCCATCCTTGATGTCAGTGGGAGGAATAGTGCCCCATCATTGGTATCAGTGGGAGGAATACTGCCCGATCATTGGTGTCAGTGGGAGGAATAGTGCCCCATCATTGATGTCAGTGAGAGTAACACTGCCCCATCCTTGGTGTCATTGGGAGGAAAGGTGCCCCATCATTGGTGTCAGTGGGAGGAAAGGTGCCCCATCATTGGTGTCAGTGGGAGGAATACTGCCCGATCCTTGGTGTCAGTGGGAGGAATAGTGCCCCATCCTTGGTGTCAGTGGGAGGAATAGTGCCCCATCCTTGGTGTCAGTGGGAGGAATAGTGCCCCATCCTAGGTGTCAGTGGGAGGAATAGTGCCCCATCTTTGGTGTCAGTGGGAGGAATACTGCCCGATCCTTGGTGTCAGTGGAATACTGCCCGATCCTTGGTGTCAGTGGGAGGAATACTGCCCGATCCTTGGTGTCAGTGGGAGGAATACTGCCCTGATCCTTGGTGTCAGTGGGAGGAAAGGTGCCCCATCATTGGTGTCAGTGGGAGGAATACTGCCCGATTCTTGGTGTCAGTGGGAGGAATAGTGCCCCATCCTTGGTGTCAGTGGGAGGAATAGTGCCCCATCCTATGTGTCAGTGGGAGAAATAGTGCCCCATCATTGGTGTCAGTGGGAGGAATACTGCCCGATCCTTGGTGTCAGTGGAATACTGCCCGATCCTTGGTATCAGTGGGAGGAATACTGCCCGATCCTTGGTGTCAGTGGGAGGAATAGTGCCCCATCCTTGGTGTCAGTGGGAGGAATACTGCCCGATCCTTGGTGTCAGTGGAATAGTGCCCCATCCTTGGTGTCAATGGGAGGAATAGTGCCCCATCCTTGGTGTCAGTGGAATACTGCCCCATCCTTGGTGTCAGTGGGAGGAATAGTGCCCCATCCTTGGTGTCAGTGGGAGGAATAGTGCCCCATCCTTGGTGTCAGTGGGAGGAATAGTGCCCCATCCTTGGTGTCAGTGGGAGGAATACTGCCCCATCCTTGGTGTCAATGGGAGGAATAGTGCCCCATCCTTGGTGTCAGTGGGAGGAATAGTGCCCCATTCTTGGTGTCAATGGGAGGAATAGTGCCCCATCCTTGGTGCCAGTGGGAGGAATAGTGCCCCATCATTGATATCAGAGGGAAGAACACTGCCCCATCCTTGGTGTCAGTAAAAGCAGTTCAAAGTGGAAGTTCAGGTGGGTCTACGTCCCTCCCTCACATTTGCATTCCTTGACAAAAATTGGAATTTTTTCAGTTTTTTCTCAATTGCTGAAAATTCCTATTGATTTTCGCTTGGATTTCGTCACTGAAAATCAGCTGATGAAAACTATGGCGAAAATATTTCCGTTAATGAAATGAACAGTGCCGGAGATGGAAGTGTTTGGGATTCCAGGTCCCATGATTCCTTGTGTGCGGCCTGTACTACGTCTCAGCCAAGCGTAGCTCCGCAGCACGGACACGGATTTAATGCCTCGCTATCAGTGGCAGTAGCTATGTCACACTGTTGCTGACAGTCAGTGGGGGGAATAATGGCCCAAGGGCCGGATAGAGGAGGCAAAGGGCCGCAAATGGCCCCCACTGCATTAGAACATCGCCGTCCTCTCCACATGGAACAATGTGCTCTTATCATACGATAATTACGGTCACGTTACTGGAATGGAGGCCAATGCCCCTACGCTGAGGTGAATACGGTAGCGGGGCAGTGCGGTCAGCGGAGAGCCCGCTGTAGCTTTAGGAGCGGCTGAAGTGACGGTTGAATGTCGCCCCGCCCACATAACGGCGCCGGTCCGTATGGAGGTTATGGGGCGATTTTTTTGACGCTCTGTAAGGTACAGACGACGAGCTCCGGTGCTGTGACCTTCGTACAGTGAATGTATGGGGCAGGTATACACCAGCTCTATGGGAGGGAGTCCGCCTTTCATATACAAGTCTGAGGGAAGGGAAACGTGGGCTGACTAGGGTGTGAGGGCTGCGCTGTCTCTCTTGGGCGCACGCGATGACAAGCCCCTCCCTGTGCAGAGGGCGGGGCAGGTAGAATCTCAGGGAGCCCTATAGCGTACAGCTCATTCTAAGTCCCTCTCCGTGCAGGGGGCGGAGCTGGTAGAGCTATACGGTCTGCAGTTAATGCTAGACTCCTCCCCGTCTAGGGGCGGAGCGGTTGGAACCTTAGCAAGGCCTAAAGCTGCTAAGCTCTTCCCCATGTAAGAGGCGGGGTTGCTAGAACATTGGTGAGGCCTATAAAGTCTACGGCTTCTAAGCCCCTCCCTATGCAGAAGGCGGAGTCGATAGAACCTTGGAGATCTCGGTAGTCTAGAGCTCATTCTCTGCTTTCCTCCCCCAGAGGGCATCGCGCTCCGTCCTTGTTTGCTCCGCCATTTTGAAGGAGCAGCGCAGACAACGTCGCCGCACTCGTTTCCCGTATAAATACTTCTCTATCCCGCCAACATGAGTTCTCCAGTGAACGTGAAGAAGCTGAAGGTGTCGGAGCTGAAAGAGGAGCTGAAGAAGAGGCGGCTGAGCGATAAGGGGCTGAAGGCCGATTTGATGGAGAGGCTGCAGGCCGCTTTGGACGACGAAATGGAGGCCGGCGGAGGGGTGGTTAGCGCGGTGGCAGACGAAGGGTCCGATGCCGCGGAAGGAGCGGACATGGAGGCCGGCACTGGGGAGGAGGAAGAAGAGGAGGACGAGGAAGGGATGGAGGTAGGCGGGGAGAATGGCGGCGATGCGGAGCAGGAGGAGGCCAACGAGGAGGAGGAGGCCGCCGGCCTGGATGATGAGAATGGAGACGATCAGGGCTTCCAGGAGGGCGAGGAGGAAGAAGAGGAGGACGAGGGGATCCCTGTGGGCTTGGAAGAGGAGGAGGAAGATGAAGAGAGCGCCAACGAGAACGGCCGCGCCAAAGATCAAGCCAAGCAGGAAGCCGAGAGTGTGCCCAGCGGGCCCCGACCCCTCATGGCCATCAAGGTTGACGAGGCCGGAGCGGCAGGCAGAGGTGGCGGTAAGTGTGCGGTGTGTTCGTGAGGGCTTAGGACGATGCAGTGGTATCTTCGGGGCGGGGATAGCCTATGGATGGCTTTCCGTACAGTCTGTGCGGGGATAGCCTATGGATGGCCTTCCGTACAGTCCATGGATATTTTCATGCTATTGGCCTATAGCTATAGTCATGCTATAGCTTATGGATGGCCTTCCGTACAGTCTGTGGGGATGGCCTTCCGTACGGTCCATGAATATTTTCATGCTATTGGCCTATAGCTATAGTCATGCTATAGCCTATGGATGGCCTTCCGTACAGTCTGAATATTTTCCGTACAGTCTGTGGAGGGGCATCTTTGGATCTTCCGTATATTCGGTGCCGAGGTAGTCTGGGCTGCTCTCCTGTAGGAATAGCGGTGCCTAATGCTGTCTTTACTGTGTTTTCAGAAATGCCTAATAGCGGCCCTCCTACTTGGTCAGTGCATAGAGCGGCTCCTGAGGCCGGCGCTTTCCGTATAGCGCGCTGAGGGCCGCAGGTCACGTACACCTCGAGGCAGTATTGTGTCGGCGGGATACGGATTTGGTGACGTCACTTCCGGGGAAGCGCCTGCAGCCTCTTGGCGGCCCGCTTCTGTGATGAGCAGGGTGGCAGGCTCCGCACCTGCTACCCCTTTCATTTCTTTGGGACAGAGGAGGCCATTATGTCTTTGGCTGTTCATTGTTTAGCAGTTTAGGGCGGGGATCTGCAGCAGCTCCATTTTGGGATGCTATCTGTGGGGTAATCCCCTCACAATTGCTCAAGTTTCTGCAATGTGTATCGATGTGATCATTTTAGTTGCAGGGTTGACTAATTATTTCAGGTACTTATATAGCGCCGTCAATTTACACAGCGCTCTACATATATATTGTACATTCACATCGGTCCCTAACCCTCAAGGGGCATACAATCTAAGGTCCCTAACTCATTCATACATACTAGGGCCAATTTAGACAGGAGCCAAGTCACCTACCAGCATGTCTGCTTAAATTCTTTTAATAAGAATCAAACCGTTCGCCTCCTAGTCAAGCAGATCAGTACCAGTGAGTCGATCAACAACGGAAGGATTCTTTTTGTTACCCTTTTAAGATCCGACAAACATCTGAATTTCGAACAATGTGAAATGCATTTAAAAAAAATTTTCACTTGGTAACATTTTCTTCTGTATTGCTTGAGGTGATTGTTTTTGTTTTTTCATCTCTTCTAACATTCTGCTAAAATTTGTGATTTGTATAGTACTGCTTGGACCTTGAAGAAGGGGACACTCCCCCAAAGCTTGTCCTCAAAATTTTGTTAGTGCAAATAAAAAAGTATCTCAGACAGTACTCGATAATTTCTTCTGTATTGTAATTGATGGGGAACCACTTGATTGAGGTCGCTTGTACCCAGATTGATCAGAAATCTACGTGTGGCCACCTTTTTAGTACCGTGCAGTGTAGAATATGAATCGGTCTCAATGTATTTTGGCTATAGGCTTAGTTAGCCACTTGCTGTCCAGCCGCTATATATAAACGGCCAGACGGTGGTAGTCCGGGGGCGGGTTGCCGTTCATAAACAGCACCCGACATTATGGACTGTGCGTGCTCCCTGGGAGCGCACAGCACTGCGATTCGGTGCCCGCTGTGTCCTCCGGGCACAGTAGAACAGATATCCGTACGTCCCGTGCGAGGTCCCGATCATGTGATCACTGATTGGCCAATCAGCGATCACATGCAGAGTATTATTATTATACAGTATTTATATAGCGCCAAAGGGTTTGCTCAGCGCTTTACAGTAGCAGGGGGCACATAACATGAGACAAGACAGTAACAGTACACTACACGAGGGGTTCGAGGGCCCTGCTCTTTCGAGCTTACAATCTAGGGTAGTAAGCAAGATGTCACTTCTGACTTTGCTTACTACATGCGACATCTGTGACTGATCAGAGGTCACATGGTACAAGGCTATTCACAACAGCCTTATACCATGTGACAAGCTTTGACCAATTACAGCTCACAGTAGTTCTCAATGGCTGCAAGAATGCAGCCAGAGAGGAGAAATTATTGCTTTTATAGCCTTTATGGGTGTAAAAGCAATCCGTTGGGGGAAAAAAAAAATGTATCACCCCCCCATGGTGACACTGTACTGCTAGGGTGACAGTATATAGAAAAAAACATAATATAAAAAAGTAAAAAAAAAAATTTTTATTTTTGTTTATAAACTAATTTTGTAAAATTTTATAAAACACTTTCAAAAATCTTTGGACTTTCATTTATATAGCATAAAAAAATAAAAATCCCAGTGGTGAATAAATACCACCAAAATAAAGCTTTATCTGTCTCTAAAAAAAATTCATATGGGTACAGTGTTGCATGACCGCGTAATTGTCATTCAAAGTGCGACAGCGTTGAAAGCTGAAAATTGGCCTGGATAGGAAGGGGGTAAAAGTGTCCAGACTGGAAGTGGTTACTAGAAAAATCCTTATCTTATTCTGAGCCTAACAAGTTTCTAAATATTAAAAATCACTGAATCTAGATCTTTGTCAATGTAGTCTAGTGTTTGCATGTTTGTTTCATCTGTCCTTACAGGTTTTTTTTCTTAGTTTTGTTAAAAGTGCAGAGGGATTAGAATGCTTGTCAGTTTATTTTGCTGTCTGCCCTCGGAGATTCACCCTCACTATTGCCCTGTTTACCATTTTCATTGAGCCCTGGTTCAAACTGATGCGGTGTGGAATTTGCTGTGTTTTCTGTGCGAATTCCGCCTCAGAATCACACCTCGTTCATGCAAACCACTAAGGTTGTGCATGTTAACAGCACCCTGAAAGCAGTCCACAAAACGCAGTGCGATGTGCAGTATCGGATCATAGGTGTGAATATACCCATGCAATCCGATTCTAGTGCGTACCCAAAAAAGGGTCCTGCACCTTTTTGGTGCAATTAGAGCCATGCAAAATGTATTTCTCAAATCGCATGTGATCCACACAGGAGTACAGTTCCTGTGTGAATCCCATGTGATATACCACACCGCATATATGTGAATCTAGGGTGAAAGTAAAATAAAATCCCAGAAAGTAACGGTTAATTTCAATGGAGACACTGGTTCTGGTGACCTGGGTGTCACCAAAAATTCCCTAGTTTGCAGGGATTTGCTCTGTTTGGCTATGGTACAGAAAGTGAAGTGGAATCTCTGCAATGGGACACATGGCAACTGGCTTTAACACTTCCTTACGCTACCCAAGAGGCAGGATTACCTGTAGTTATACTTTTAAGAGTTAAATGGAGTACACAGTTGAGTGATTTTAACATTGAATGAGCAGCTTGGCATAACACATTAGAGTGGCCCTTGCTTGAAAATGCAAGATCTAGGCATTATTCCCCCAACCTGAAAATGAAAAACTAAAACCCTTAACATTAGAAGAGAAACTAGCAGGGTGGATTTGATTTAAATCACTAGTCGGTAAACCTTGATTTAAATCCTAGTTTTCTACATAAAGACTAATTCTTGCTGGTATAACTTTAATATGCAAGTAGATGAAGATTTTTAGAATAACAATTCTTTTTTTTATTAGTTTTTTTATCCCCAGTATAATAGGTTAATCATTCATATTTGGACAACTTTTCTGTTGTATTTAGGAAGGAGAAAAATAATCATTACCTTAATAACAATTTAAATAGATTTATTCAACTGAAACAATAACATTACAGCATATGTTATTTGCTTAAACAAACATCCATGTTTGTTAACCAATTTGGCTAAACAAAATATATAAATATTTTAAGAAACTTAGACTGTCAGCCCCTTCCTCCTCACACTTAGTTTCACTGTCTTCTTGTGCAGATCTATTCCACTCCAAACAATCAGAAAAATATTGTTTCGATTCTATTCACTGAACGTCTTGAAACTTAGCACTGAAGGGGTTGGATTCTGTATTCATAGGTTTGTAGAAGTTAGGATTAAGGTCTTTTTCTTAACTCTGTTCATGTTATAACATTTTTGCTGTGAAGAAGAGGCATGTGATCTCCGCTGAGTCAAATTCAGTTTTGAGAACTGCAAAAGTAAACCAAGCATCTGTGATAATATCTTGTAGGCAGAGAAACTGCCCAATAATCTTACAAAAACCTCTGGAAGAGCATGACATTGTGAATGGATTAATGGAATTTATTTACCAAAACAATTAAACATATACAGCCTTATTCTACATAATTGAAAAAAACTAATCTTTATTTCATGATGGAATAACCTTTGGATGGTAATATATTTTCCTCAAAGCATTTTATTTAAAAATCCGATTTTTATAAAAAAAAAAAAAGAAAATTGATTTTAAATCAATTATTTTTATCCACCCTGGAAACTAGTTGCCTGGTGAAATCACTGGGACTTGCTGTTTCTTCCAGTGTCTAACAAGAATGTGCTTCAACATTGTATAAAAGCCTGGGATGTGATTTATTCATAATTTTGCATGCTTTGTTGCCATATGCCTATAGTAGGTATATAGATGGCTGCACTAGATGCTAGTCTACCATTCTAGTCCCTTTTACCCCACCTCACTTTCATTTTATTTAGAATTCAGCTTTCTTAGCCCTATAGAGCAGGGCTCGACAAATCCCAGGCACCAGATCGCCGTGGCTGTTGTCAGCCCCAGTGGTGAAGCATAGGGGAGTGCAGCCATGCGCAACATTGCCAGGCAGCCTGCAGATATCACTGGTGTGTGAGGCCGCGGTGTAGGGAGGAGCGGTGGGAATGTGAAGGACGGGTTAGGGGAGATGTTGGGCTGTAGAATAGTGGGGGGGGCAGGTCAGAGGAGGAGCGGAGCTTGCTGGAAATGTCCCCTGTGCAACTCTGCAACTCTCCATGACACCTGCTGCTCTGGGGGACATTCAGCCTCACCGTGGAGCAGGAACTGGCTGTGTGACAGCCAGTGTGGCCACTTATCAGTGCCCCATCAGTGAAGCCTCATCACTGCACATCAGTGAAGTAAAATTACTTATTTGAAAATTAAAAAAACAAAAACCACTTCAGTCTCCGTGTATGTAGTAACAAATAAAAAAAACAGTGGTGAATAAATCCGACTAAAAGAAAGCTCTCAAAAAAAGAAATTTAATTTAGGTACAGTGTTGCATGGCCACGCAATTGTCCTTTACCCTTGGTTCGCATCTGTGTGGGTGGTGCCGCTGTGGGACCTGCACAAATACCTGTAGCCGTGCCACCCACACAGAAGAATGCAGGACCCGCCTAATTCTACTGGCACGCTGTCCATACTGGGAACCTCTGTTACCGTGCAGGCTGTGATTTTCAGAGCAGTACAGGGACTTCTTCCCTGATTGTCCCAGGGCCTGGTAGTCCATTTAAATGAATGGGCTCTCGTGCCCTCTCAAATCGTGTCCCGCACGACTGCACAGATGTGAACCAGGGCTTAAAGTGTTACAGCACTGAAAGTTGAAAATTGGCCTGGGCAGGAAGATGGTGAAAGTAACCAGTAGGCAAGTGGTTAAAAAAAAAAAAAAAAAAAACTGGCTCCTAACTTTAGCTGGCTCCTAGATTCAAAGCAATTTTGTTAAGCCCTGCTTTAGAGGTCCTTCAGCTTACCCCCTTTACACTTTTTTTTTTTTTTTTTTTTTTTTCCCCCTTTTCTTTACCCCTTGCTGGCAGGCAATGTCTGCAGTTTGGATACTCACCCAGCTTTGTCCTGCGAACATCCTTGTTTTAACACACCATTCAGACCTGCGCCACCATCTTCTCACATCAAGTGTTTTGCTGCCCCTTCCTGGTTCAGCTGGTGGGGCCTCGCAATGATGCACTGCTAGACCTGCCCCTTCCTTGATGACAGAATAAAAGCCTTCTGGAATTTGTGATGTGTATATATTCCCCAAAACTCAGGAAGTGCTATGCACTTTGTTGTCCCAGGCGAATGACATGCATGGAGGGGCAGGGCCCTGCAGTTTAAAAAAATAAAGTAAATGAGAAGAAAATGGCCCTATTCATGTAGAGGGGAGGTGTAGAAGGTGGGGAATTTTATATATAAATATCCGCTCTTAAGTATTTTCAATGTAAAATACACTCCTTTTGGATCAGTTATAGTATTTTCAATCAGTTGATGTTCTCTAGCTTTGCACGGTAATGTGTTTCTCAGCTAACATTTTCTGTTTTTAAAGGCTACAACTGCAGCATAATCCTGGATATTGATATGAAGGCAGTGGGTTTCTGACATTTAGTGCCACTGCTACACAGCCCCTTTTTCTGAGGCCTATAATAGTTGAAAGCAGATACTGATGTGCTTTGCTACTGCTGTGAGAAAAGTGGCCGAAATGTGGATACTTTGTCACTATGAATATCCTTATCAATGTTTTGCTGTGCATGTTTTGTGAAGTTATTGCCTATGGCAATCTTGCCATACTCAATTGTGATAAACAAAGTTTCCAAACTGCAAAATTGTTGGCTTCATTAAGCTAACTTGTGTTTATGCTGTTATGGCTAAATGTTGCATTCACAAACGCTGGCAATCATCTTTGACAAATACTACATTTTTATTTATACTTTAGAAGGCAAGGAGAAAGATAAGAAAAGAGGCGTGAAAAGGCCACGAGAAGATCATGGACGTGGTTATTTTGAGTACATTGAAGAAAACAAATACAGCAGGTTAGTACAATAGTTGTTTTTACTACCGGTTTCCTGTCCTGGTGATTGGATTCTAATTTTATATTCTATTTCAAGATCCAAATCACCCCAACCACCAGTTGATGAGGAGGATGAAAAGGTGGATGACACAAATGTTCTTCTCGACACATGTAAGAACTTTTTTTTTTTTTTTGGTATTCTGTTCCCGCATTAAAGAATATCATATAAAGTGTTTTTAGTGTAAATGATAAATATACCCACTGCCTGCATACTTGTTTTCTAAGTTCATATTTTTTCTATAGATAACTGTGACCTACATTTCAAAATTTCCCGGGATCGCTTAAGTGCCTCTTCCCTCACTATGGAGAGTTTTGCTTTTTTGTGGGCTGGTGGCAGGGCTACATATGGTGTCTCTAAGGGCAAAGTATGCTTTGAAATGAAGGTCAGTAGTGGGACTATGTTCAGAATGCATTTTAAGCCTTCCTTAAAGGCTCTGGTGACTGTAATATTTTACTGCATTCTACAGGTTACAGAAAAGATTCCAGTAAAGCATCTGTATGCTAAAGACCTTGAAGTTCATGAAGTGCGTGTTGGTTGGTCCCCAAGTTCATGCAGTTCTATATTGGGTAGGTTAGAGCTGTAACTGAATTTTGATAAGGCTTCCTTAACTTATCTTTAAGTACAAGTACCTTCAAATGTTTCTTCCTATATGTTCTTTGGAAAGTAAATATTAGAGTGTGCACACACCCTAATGCCTAGTACACACCCATGAGAAAATTGGATGAAAAATACCGCTTTTGAAGCGATCGCCTGACAATCTAATCATTAGTACACAGCTCTTGAGAGCCAATCTTGTTCATGTGAAATTATCTGAAGGGACAAGCAGAGTTTTTCTTACTCGTACAGAACGGATGTTTTTTGTTTAATCAGTACAGCATTTGTTAAAAAAAAATTGAATGACCAGGACAACAAATGCTCAGTAATGAATGTACATTACATCACAAGTTGTGTTCTGTCTCTTTTATGAGAATTTTTGTAACTTTAGCAACCTCCTTAATTTTCAATTTGATAATGACTTTTTAAAAAAAAAACTATCATTCCTATTTTTATTCTCATTGTGTATAGAGACTTTAGTAGGAACTTATTTGCTACAATTTTTGGTCTGATAAATATACCAATAAAATGTTAAGTGCTTATATTAAAGTTAAAGCCAGCACTTCTAATGAAGTGAAATTAACCCTCAATGTTAAAGTGGACCCTCCAGTCAAAGCTAAAAAAAAAAATATTAAGTCAGCAGCTACAAAAGCTGTAGCTGCTGACTAAAAAAAAAAAAAAAAACCAGCTACTTGCCTGTCCCATGATCCAGCAGTGTACTCGATAGAGCTTTTTTTGTCCGTCGCTCCCCACCACCAGCATCCTGAGTGTGGGTGCCTGACCGTGGCAGTTTGCAGCTTCATAGCGTGGTGCCCACTGTGCATGTGTGAGTAGTGTTGTGCCTTGTGAATGGTTCCGCAGTGTTCTGCGACCTGTCGCTTTTCTTTGAAGACTACAGGAGGGGGGAGGACAACTTCTGCTTCCAATCGCCTTGGCGATGGAAGCGGGTACCTGTCAAAATCGGAAAACTGCGTGCCGCTATAAATTTAACAAACACTTTTCTGGGAAACCTTTTTTTAATGTATTAAGTTAAAAAGTGCTGACTGTTTAAAAACTGATCTTACAGTTTAAAGTGTGCTTTGTTCATATAGAGCAAAGCAACTGGTTAATTTTAGTTAAAGCTCACATGCTTACACATTCCATATGATCCCCCAAAGCTCTGTTCAGCCGCTGGGAGTGTTAAAAAAAAAAAAAAAAAAAAAAAAAAAAAAGTGGTAAACTAAACCCTGTGTGCAGTGCTGCCCCCAGCTCCCTCAATACTTAGCTGAGCCTCATCCCGATCCAGCGATGTTAACAGCCTCGGCTGTCCCGGGTCTTTGCATCTTGGCTGAGACAGCAAGCAGGAGCCATTGGCTCCCGCTGCTGTCAATCACAGCCAATGAGAGGGGGTGGCAAGCTGCGGCACTGTGTGAATGGACACATGGAGCAGTTGTTGGTCCCCATAGCAAGCTGCTTGCTGTGGGGGCACATAACAGGTGTGCGGGGCCAGGAAAACCTGTGAAGGACCTGAGAAGAGGATCCAGGCTGCTGTGTGCAAAACCACTGCACACTGCAGGTAAGTATAGAAGGTTTTCCAAAAAAAAAAATTAATCTTTATATAATCACTAAGATTTCTGTCCACTTGGATACAATGTTATAGGCATATCGATACAGACATCAGTGATACAAGATCTCACTTTGTGGTGTGTGGGGGTTTTTTTTTTTTTTTTCATCCTTTTTAAAACACATGAACAAACTTTGTTTAACTTCTAGGTGAAGAGGAACATTCTTATGGTTATTCCTTGAAAGGATCCAAATATTCCAATGGTGCAGCAGAAGACTATGGCGAGAAGTATGATGAGAATGATGTGATCACTTGTTTGGCTGTAAGTTCTTGATAGTAGGTTGTGTGGGGGTTTTCAGTAGCATTGGCATATTTCAATTGTGAAGTCTTTTTGAAGAGTAGTTGTTTCTACTAGAAACAACCTGCAGTTTCTAAGTTCTAACTAAAAACTGAATCCAACTAACACCTGTTAGTCTTTGTTGTGATCTTTGAGGATCTTGGAATGAACAAACGTTTTAAAAGCAGATAGTCAGAAGGACTTAAAGTGCAAGAAAATTTAGTATGGTGCCCATAGTTTGGGCACAGGTGCACACCTAGCAGGTTGCCTGTGGCAATATATTTTAATTGTGAGGAGCTGTTGAACTCAATCTTGTGTACAAGGCTTTCTATGGCAAGATCATGGTTCCCAGCTCTATCTTTTCCTGTTCTAGCAATACAATCCTGGCTGTCTATAATGTAAAATTTTTAAAAATCCACTAAAAGTGGTTGCTTCAAATGGTCCTGAGAGGTGCACCTGAGACTCCTATAGAGATTTCTGAACTGGAACATAACACTTTTCTCTGCACTGCCTATATACCAGGACAACCTTTGCAATACTGAATTACATTTCGAAGTAATTGCAGATAGCATGCATAGTGTGGATACACTTAGTAATAGGTCATTTTTCCATCTTTTCAGAATTTTGATGGTGATGAGTTGGAGCTGTCTTATGCAAAAAATGGTCAGGATCTTGGAGTGGCTTTTAAAGTAGACAAAGAAGCTCTTGCCGAAAAGGATCTCTTCCCTCATGTCCTTTGTCACAACTGTGCTGTAGAATTCAACTTTGGCCAGCAGGCTGAGCCTTTCTTCCCAGTCCCTGAAGGATATACATTTATTCAGAATGTTGCACTGGAAGACCGTGTGAGAGGACCTCTAGGACCCGAACAGAAAAAAGATTGTGAAGTGAGAATTTTTTACTTTGTTCAAATTTTAAATACCAGTTTTGGCACATTGTATTGGTTTGCTACATAATTATCTTATGTCTTTTTCTTAGGTAATCATGATGATTGGTTTGCCTGGAGCTGGAAAAACATCATGGGTAACAAAGCATACAGCAGAAAATCCTGGAAAGTATAATGTCCTTGGAACAAATAACATCATGGAAAAAATGATGGTAAGAAACTGACAGAATGAGTTGAGTCAACTTTTTGAGCAGGGATTTAAAGCTCCTCTCTCCTAGCTTTTGTTGGAATGCTGCCCATTTAGTTTCCTCTGTGCTGATTGCCAACTTGCTGTGGCACTACTGTACAAGTTGACAGGGTATTTGAAGACAGACTGGCTGATAGTTTTATTGTGGGGGGGAGGACTTAAAGTAGCCATATGAATTCAGCTACTTGGAGGAATCTTACAGTGGAACTAAAGCTGTAAAACATGTAGCTCTTTATTGTAGAAGAGACTCTTCTACATCTTATGCTATAAGACTTGTGCCAGTCTGCTCTGTCTTCTAATGAACACTGATCTGCCATTGCCTGGCACTCAAGGTGTACTGGAATGACTTACTCCTGTGGGCATGGTATGATGTCATGCCCTGATGGCAATTCGTGGAGTTGAAAACTCAGCCCCTTGGAGAGAAACGTCTGGAAAGGGATGCAAATGTAGAATCCCTAAAATGTGGATAGGAGTAGTATGGTGTTTTGCTTTAAGATTGAACTAAACCCACTAATTGAATGTTCAGTTACCAGTGTGCTTATATTGGTTATCAGCTGAACTGTAAAGCTATCAAGTGGCTGGTGTCATAGCTGATTCCATGAGTGCAGTACCATAACTGCAGATCAGAGGCTAAGATGGCAGCTTCCTTGGCTCTATAGGTGGGTTTAGTTCTGTGAATTCTTGGCAATATACGTGGTGACTTCATAAAGAGGTAAAATTCATGAAACAAGTTTAACAGATTATAACATTCAGGTGTTTCAGTTTGTACAGATTTAAATTTCATGCTCTTAAATATTGAGTAAAACTGAAATCCCAATGGCAATCTCTTGGTTTAGGTTGGTAATAAAAAGACAACTGACCCTTCCAAGCTAAATGCTTTGCTTCAGAGGGCTCCACAATGCCTTAGCAAGTTCATTGAAATTGCAGCTCGTAAGAAGAGAAACTACATTCTTGATCAAGTAAGTCTTGCTATAATTATTGAATTGCATTTGTATTTTTCTCTGCTGTTTAACCACTTGCCTACCAGGCACTTATACCCCCCTTCCTGCCCAGACTAGCTTTCGACGCTCTTACTTTGACAATTGCGCAGTCATGCAACACAGTAAAAGAATATAAATTTTAGTTTGGGTACAAAGTGCTTTCTTTTGATATTTGATCACCACCTGGGGTTTTTCTAAACTAAAAAAAACAAATTTTGAAGTGTGTGGTTTTTTTTTTCTTTTAAATAACTAATTTTCTCCACTGATTTTGGCCACACTGATTGGGCTACACTGATCACCAGGTCACTGATTTTCAGTGTAGATATCCCCCTGCTAAATGCCGCTTACCTGCTCTTATGCTGTCAGCGTGAGTGGAGGACTGCCGATAACCAACATTTCCTATTTACCCCCGATCAGCTGTGATTGGACATCGCTGGTCGCATGGTAAAAGTGGCTGTGATTGGCCCATTCCATAGCCATGTGATCAGCTGCGTCCGAAGGACACAGCGGTCGCACGCAGTGTGTACTTAAGGAGGACTCTGTTCTGAGAGGACGTCCATGGACTCCCTCCCAGAACTAGCTGACCGCTCTGTAGCTGTCTTTCAGCTATAGCGTGGTCAGGAACAGGTTAAGGGGTGTCACCCTACTTTTAGTGCTAATGCTTTACTTCCACTGTAACATGTCAGTGGTATATTTTTATTAGTGGATTGGCTATTACTGTAAGCTAAATTTTGAGAAATCTCTCCTAAGGAGGCTAAATGAAAAGCAGTTGAGGTCATTAACCGCTTCCCAACTGCCCTATAGCAAACACTGCTACAGGGCGGCATGTGTTTTTTGCAATTATGGGTAGGGGGTGCGCACGAGCTCTACCTGTGCCGCCATTCGTGGCGGTCACCGAATCCCAGCCAGTAATTACCCAAGTGATTACCGACAATCACTGATGGGGAGGAAGACTGTTTAGTCTTCCCTGTTAACTCGGGCACACTGCTCAGGATGGCTATGCACAGCCATCCCGATCAGTGTGCTTACAGTGAAGTACCCTCCCCTAATAAAACACTCCCTACATAGTTAACCCCTTGATCACCTTTCATGTTAACCCCTTCCTGCCCAGTGCCCTCAGTACAGTGTCCAGTTTTTTGTTTTGTTTTTTTCCTGCATTGTAATGCTTTAGGTTTGCAAATGTGAAAAGCTGAATATTACACAGGCTTAATCTGATGTGATAAATGTCTAGGTCCCCTTCCCTCACCAAATAGGCACACGCCTATGTTTTGCTTTGTTCATTTAATGTTTTTTTTCTTTCTTGATAGACCAATGTGTCTGTGGCTGCTCAGAGGAGGAAAATGTGCCTGTTTGCAGGCTTTCAACGTAAAGCTGTTGTAGTGTGCCCAAGTGATGAGGTGTACAAGGAAAGGACACAGAAAAAGTCTGAAGCAGAGGGAAAAGACCTTCCAGAGCATGCGCTACTTAAAATGAAAGGCAAGTCCAACTTACACCACACTAATTCAAGATGTGTTTTCATAAGTTTGCCTGCCTAGTTTGATGGGGGTTGTGACCCTGATCAAAGTACATATGTAACGAATGCTGTCATGGTCATCCTCGTGTCAGGATATTGAGACGCAAGCTAAATAAGTAAGCAGATTACTTTTGAGCAGTTCTTTGATTTTCTTTATCTGCATGTTCTGGGATCAGGAACACAATGTGGTATTGCCAAAGGGTCATAAAAACAATTGGTTTCTTGGAAGATCAGCAGCTCCCATTTCTTTGGTTTTACTTTAAAGCGTTACTAAACCCAGGACTGCTTCCACTAGTCTCTGGTCTCCCACAGTACACAGCATGGAAGTGCAATTATTTTAGTAAATATAAACTGTTAAATACCTTTGTCATCAGCAGTTAGAGCAGACTTGTGGCTTCTATCTGTGTTCAGCCCAGCACTAGCTAAAGCTTGTAGGAGGAGTTTTATTTCTGCTCTAGGAGGATGGAAATTCCCTGACCTCTGTCTTGACAGTGCTGACTGGCCCTGTGCTGATCACATGCATTCTCCAAAGAAAAGAAGAAAAACCTCTCGCGATTTATCTCCAGACTGAACCGTATGGCATGCACATGCGCAGTTAAGTGGTGGTTGCTTAAAGGGGAGGAACAGAAGACTCATGCAGATAAGAGGAACTAGGTTCTTTGGATACACACAGTATAGAAGGATTTGCTTTGTTCAGATTTTATGTCTGAGGCATACAACCACTCTAAACCAAGTTTAAGTAGCTTCAGGATTTATCTTGTGTTGCAAGTTTTGAGCTTTTGTTCTTTTTGTAGGGAATTTTACTCTGCCAGAAGCCAGTGAGTGTTTTGATGATATAAAGTTATGCGGAACTGCCAAAAGAAGAAGCTGAGAAACTTGTAGAGCAGTACAAAGAAGAAAGCAAGAAAGCTCTTCCTCCCGAAAAGAAGCAAAATGTTGGATCTAAGAAAGTAAACAAGAACAAAAATAACAAATCCAGAGGTGGTATGCCGCACGGACATGGAGGGCACAGAGGTCGTGGAGGTGGAGGGTTTAATATGCGCGGTGGAAACTTCCGTGGTGGAGGTATGTAACAACGTAAAATTTTGTGTGGAGTTTTTTTTTTATACTTCTGGTAACTGGGCACAGGCTAATTTTAACATTGTGAATCTGTTTAGCAGATGCATTAAAAGCAAACTTGCAATGTGTTAAATTTTTATTGCAAATTACTGATAGGCGGCCTCTTAACTCCCAAAGGTACGTAGAATTTGTGTAGGCATTTAAATGTAGCACCCTCCTAGTATAGGTGCTAGGATGCACATGGGCAGAAGAGCAGACTACACTAGTCTAACGGGAGCTAGTAGGTAAATTTTTATCTTTTGGAATTTTGCCTAACAGTGCTTCAATCCATTAGTCAGGCCTACTTCTGATGCTGTGGTGCTGTTGAGTTGAGCTCCTCCTGGCTTCTGAAAGCCACTACTGTTTTAGAAACCGTTCTGGCCGATTTACAGGGGAAGGATGGCCCATTGCATGCTGGGAGCTGGTATTTATATTCTGGGAGCACATGGGCTCACTGTCTTTTCCAGTCAATTGCACCATGCCAGGGTCAAGGCAGGCTTGCCTCCCCTGGCACTTGCTGCCAGGAGGCCTCAGGTGGGTGATGTTAGATCCTGAAGCTGGAACTGATGAGTGTCTCTGGTTCTCCTAAAAGCTGACTGAGGGTGAATCCACTGAGGATCTGTCTGGTATTACTGAGAGGCTGTTGGTGGTTCTACAAGAGCCTGTGAGATCTCGGGAACCTAGTGCTGTTAAAAGTGACACTAAAGTTTTTTTGTTTGTTTTTTTGTTTTTTTTTTTTTTTTTTTTTGTCTTGTGTGGTGTGTGTTTTACAAAAAAAAGAAGAAAAAAAAAATTTAACATGTCTATGCTTGCCTGCTTTGTGCAGTGATTTTGCACAGAGCAGCACCAATCCTCTTAACTGGTTCCTGCTGACATTCCTGGCTCCTCCCACCTCAAGCAGTGTCTCCAGGGAAAGCAGCTCACTCTGGGGGCACCACTGCGTGCTTGTCCCCGAGCTGGTGTGGCTTGGCCTTTGACTCAAGTAAAAAATGTTTGCACTTTCCTGTAGTTGGGAATACTCGGGCAGCTTTTATGGGGGTAGTGATACATTAGCATTTGCTAAATGGTTTTCATTCTGTCATTCATACTAGACACATTCCCTTTTTTTTTTTTTTTTTTTTTTTTGATACTCCTGATTTGTTTTTAAGCTAGTAACTTTTTTTTTTTTTTTTTTTTTGTCCGCCTCCTCTTCCCCTCTACTTGTAGCCCCAATGAACCGTGGAGGATTCAACAGGAGGGGTGGTAACATGCCACAGCGTGGGGGTGGAGGGGGTGGAGGAGGAGCAGTTGGATACCCATATCCTCGTGCACCAGTCTATCACCAAAGAGGAGGGTATGGTAACCGTGGAAACTTTAGTCGCGGTGGTGGAGGTGGTGCTGGAATGCCCAACCGTGGAAACTACAACCAGGTAACACTTTTTGAAAAATATGGCGCTTTAACCAGAATCTTCTTTTTTTTTTTTTTTTTTTTTTTTTTTTTTTTTTTTAAATTGCAGTGTAACTGATATAACTTTTTCCTCAAATCTACAGAATTTTAGAGGAAGGGGAGGCAACCGTGGTTTTAAAAACCATTCTCAGGGGTACAACCAGTGGCAGCAACAGGGCGTAAGTATCTAATCTATGGTCTAGGTGAAGGCATCACTCATTAGGAATGGTCTTCAGTTTACTGAAACTAACAGTGAGGCATCCAACATAAAACTTTAGTTTCCTGTCATCCACATATTGTAGCATATTCAGGTCTTGGTATGTAATCTTTATCGGGCTCCTAGTTTAAAGTAATGGGATGACATTTTATTAAAATGTTACACATGACCTAAGCAATTCTTGTTGGCGTCTAAGCTTACAAGCTTGTTAACATGTTAATATTTACCCCTTTTTCTAATTGCAGCAATACTGGGGTCAAAAGCCATGGAGCCAGCAGTACCACCAAGGATATTATTGAATACCCAAATAAAAATGAACTGATACATATTTCTCTTCAAAACCTTCACAAGAAGTCGACTGTTTTCTTTAGGTTAACTTTTAAAAACAAAACAAAAAAAACATTCCACAAGAGGAAGTGCCTGCGGGTTCTTTATTGGTTTTGTTAAACATTTGTTTTTAGTTGCGTTTTTTTTGGGTTGCATTTTTGTACATTTTTATTGCAGTTTTAAAAGTAATAAGAACCTTAGCATTGTGCACGATAAAAGAATGTCAGTATTTCAGGGTTCTCTTTTTTATTTTTTTTTTTTCCTCTGTAATGCTTTTTGTTTTTAACTTCTAAATTCTTTGAAGTAAAGGTCGCTTTGTACTTGGTATCATTATTTTAGGAATTGAATCCCCTAATTAACAGTGCATGGAAAGGAAGTCAGGGATTTGCTGTTTAAAAGTTTGTGGCTCAGAATTTTGTAGTGGTCCTCAGATATTCAGTCTTTTATTTATAACCTCCCATCTTGCTAGTTTAGGGAGCAAACATCCTGGCTTGTTAGATCTTGGAAGGCTGTTTCCAGCATAATGAGGGGAATGCACTAAAATGACTGAGGAGAGGTTGGTGTGTTTAAAAGATATTTAATGTTTTACCTCTGGAAACCGCAGAGACTTCAACTTGTGAAGGTTTGATATTGTTTTCTTCATTTGTTAAACACTTCAATTCTGCAAAGAATAGGCTTGATATGCCTGTTTCTTATTAAACTAAACTTGTTGTAAATCTAGCTGTCTGATGGGATCTGTATGAAGTTAGCTGTGTTTGTATCTCCCACTTACCCATCCCTTGCAATTTTTTTTATTTGCATAGTGTGCTTGTAGTTGCACCATCATTGTAAACTAACTATATTGTGAGTACATTTATTAGAATTTTTCTTAAAATGTCAGTTCTTTATATTTTGCCTGCTAACCTCTAAAGAGGGTGAGCTGGAATACATCGATAGAATTTTATTTGCAATAAACAAAAATGAATTTACACTGTCGTGTTTGGGATTGTCAAAAACGTAAACATAATCCCTTCCCCATACAACTGCCACGTTATTCTTCACTTATGCATAGACTTGATTGCAGTTAAAGAGATCAATGGATTTTGCTGATGTCCACACTCTTTCCACTCTAAAGTAGTGGATTGGGATCCCGTCCACTTACAGCAGCCTGGCCTTGGTCCGTATGCACATCTCAAAGGCCATGGCGTGGCACTCGCCTCAGATATACACCTGCTGCTTTATTTTGCTACCCAAGACTTGTTCAAGGCAGTTCAGCGGTGTCCCAACCCTGCGATGAGAAGCATGGTATAAAGTAACCCGTTACATGGAGGGATTGCCACCTATATCTCAGCTGAATGGTACAAAATGCTTTGGAGCACCTGACGTTCTGTGGCTTAATGCCCTTAAGGTAAAGTTTGACAAGCAGTCTCCCGTCTTTTAACTGTGGATGGGAGCAACTCCTATGAACTGACTTTCTAAATAAAAGTACATGCTTGATCACTATTTAACTAACAAGTTTCTGGTAAGTTGTACATCTCCATGAATCCCTTTTTATAAGAAGGGATCTTCCCTCCCCTTATCTAGTCTGAAATAAAGTACTCTTTAATTTCACTGGTGCCTTACTTTAATTTTGTGTGAGCGTCTCTGGAAAATGGCTGTTACTGGATAAAATCCCTACAATTGATTGCATTCAACTGCAGGTTTATTTAAACAAGTGTTCCTTGGATGTATGGTTCATGTGAAGAGGGGTTAGTTCTGCCAGTGCTATTAAAGGGTTTGATAGATGTAGTTAAAAGGTAATTGAAGGTAAAAAAAACAAAACCCTGTTGGCAATAACATTCATCAATGAGCATCATCAGAATGAGCTTAAGTAAGGTACTCCTGAAATATTGTAGTGTGGGTTTGATGGTAGTTGTCCTGTTAAGGAGATGGTTGTCATCAGTTTAGAAATGTTCCAGGTTGAGCAGCCTCAGGTGTTAATGGCTTTCATTCATTTCTTTAAATCACAAGGGTATTAACCTCAATTTTTCCTCTTAAGCCTATTGGCTAGCTTTTCCTTGCATAATTGGCAATATTGTCCAATTGCCACTATTGTGCCTTTTTGTAAAGTTTAGTGTTCTGCTTTTGACAAACCTGAACCTAATGTATGGATGCTAGTGGCAGAGTAGTTTGTAGAAACGAAATGAGAAACTCCTTGTGGCTGCTTACTCCGCAAACACGGTTTGGAATCTGTTCTCTATTGGATAATGTGGTACAAGTATCGGATATCTTGGTGTCACATTGTACATTAGATTCAGATGAGTGTCAAATCCTCTTGTTTGTGAATGGGAATTACCTTTTTTATTTAAAGTATATATGTAAATATTGTCTGTCTTTGTTTTTCAGACTTCCTTTTGCATGATATCACTTAAAAATGTGAGTAAAATTGAGCTCACTGTTCATTTCCAAACATGTTAAATCGTTTAGGCCATTGAGACTTTAGTCAAACTAGATGACCTTTTTTGCTGCTGTAAAGTGATGTTAGAATGGCACTATTAATTTTTGTTATTAAAAGCTCTGAAAATGTAAAAATGGTCCAAAACCTGAAACTATTGCTGTTCTGTATAAAGCAGTTTCATGTGTCTCAGTGGTAGAACCTCTTTAAAGAATGTAAATTCTGTTAGTGCTGATATGGTCATACTGGGAAATATTTGTGTTTTTGTGTACCAGTTTAATTTAGGATTAAATTGTAACCTGTGCATCGGGTAGCTCACCCATGTGCTCTTGAAGAAATGAATGTGTTCAGTAAAAACACACAGCTTTCCTGCAAGTGCATTTCCTAGAAGGATAAATTGTACTGCATGTAAACAGTACCAATCATGAGAACCCTTATGTGTGTTTCACATTAGCACAGGGCTTCTGCAAAATCATACAATGCTGAAGAGAACTTAAGTGCTACAATACCATTTTTGCATAGCAGAGTACATTTTTATAACCACATTAAGATTTTGCTGCTATACCGGTCTTGCATACTAGGATGTATCATCTTGAACAGATATTTGGTGATAATGTACAAGTTGTTTAGAAATATAATTGAAAATTGGTTGCAGCTATGCTAGTTAGATGGGTGACATGGTAGGTAAGAAGATGCTTAGTTATGCAGTGTTGTGAGCCTGTAACCACCTTGCTGTAACATTGAGACCTGTCTGGAGTGGGTGGGGGGATAACTGCTCCCTCCAGCACACATCCTGTAGACTTTTTTTTTTTTCTTGGCCCAGCAAGTTTGAAAGGGTTTTCCTGGATGAAAAGGATGACATTCATATTAATTGGCCAGCTACTTTTATACTGCTTATTGAAATGCTCTGCATTAAAGCAGACCTATACTCTCCTTCAGTCCAGCAATGCAGCAAGCTGGAGTAACCTACCAGTCACAGATCTTTGAGCGGCTGGCTCCAGGTATCAGGTGCCAGAAGCTTTACCTAAGTGTACCAATATGCTGTCATTCCAATGCATGTACAGGAATTCAGTCAGCTTTGGCATTGCTGAACTTCTACAGTGAACTGTGCATGTGTATCTTGCTGTATGGCACGGAATGGTAACGTAGATGCAGCTGGTCTCCTCTGCATCAAAAATACTGCGGTTTGTCCATTTTTATTTCTTACAAAGTTCCACTTTGAGCTTTCACAACCTGTACTTTCAAAATCTATGCTAGCAATGAAGCTCATTTCCACAATTCTGCATTGAAATTAGAATACATGCTGCAGTGGTGTGTGGGGTGGATGTTTTTTTTTTTTTTTTTTTTTGTAGTAGTAGCCCCAGCAGCGCAGGAGGGAGATTTTAAACCTGCCACTAAATGTAGAGCACTGCCACAACAAACGAAGGAAGGAACTTTGCTTGTACATATCTTGAATTTATGTCTTAGTGTTCATTCTGTGGCAACCTTGTGAGTGTATTTTGACAATAGAAGCAAACCTGAGTACTGCTTTTTGTATTCTACACAAGTTGGAATGCATTGGTCCTTTTTTAATTTATTTTTTTTTTTTAATAAAAAAAAAAAAAACATGTACTAACCATTTTAAGATCTTGTATAGGGTTTGTGTGGGGTTTTTTTTAATGCTGTATTTTGCTTTTGTGTAACATTTTTCTGTTTTGTTTTTTTCCCAGTAGCTTGGCTGACTCAATTGCTGGCAAGTTTAGTGGTAAGTAGTAATGTAGTAAGTATGTTTTTGGAAGCTAACCTTGGCAGGTGTCCCAACCCATAGGCCGATATCCAGTATGCCTATTTGGTGTTGACCCTGAGATGCAGCTGATTAAGTCTTTTAGACTTAAAGAATACGTTTATCTTTCATAACATGTTGCACCCATAGTCAGTGTGTAACATGTTCTTAAGACTGGCCCCTGCTCGGTTTATAAAACTATGTAGAAGCTGTGAGAAAGTGAAGGGGGGGTGGTAGCGTGGCGATTGGTGTGTAAGGGAAGTATTCTCCTAAAGAGAACGAACTGAGTACATAATTTTCAGATACGAAGTTATGTTATAACATAAACCACTTCTAGTGCACTGAGGTAAGACCAGACATTTAAACTGTTATACCAGTAAACTAGATAGAGATTTCATTTTCTTGCAAAGATGGTAAATGCTGTTCTTTGTGTACATGCCAGGCCTATGCATTGTAAAATCTCTGGTAGTCTGAAGGTTTTTACCTTTATCACAACTTATTGGACCACTTCTAGACATAGTTTTTTCCATAGGTATATAGGTACACACGTGAGGTGTGGTTTAACAACCATAGTAAACGTTGGAAACTGCATTAAAAAAAACGCACTTTTTCATGCAAGTTAAATATTTTATTTCTGTACAGTCCAAATCACATTCAGTTGTGAAGCAAAGTATGTTTCCGTTAGAAAATAAGGAGGTGGTTTGAAATTTTTATAGTTGCACTAAACATTCTGATGGAGCTCATAACACACCTTTTTATTTAAGCTGGAATGAAGGCAAATAAACACCATGTAAAGC